CATGTTGGCTCAGCCTTCACACCAGGACCTATGAGTATTTATCAGAAGGCATTTATGGTTAAAGGTAGCAGTTCAGAGAAGACCAATCCAGTGGGAGTGTCATCTTTGGAAAGAGGCAGTATTAATTAATGTCCTACTTTTTGCCGAGCTCCTTGTAGACCACAAGAAAGCTACTTGTTAATTCTGTCTCCTTGGGAAAGAGCAAGTGCACCAGAAAACTCACAATGATATCTGTGGTATAAGGTTAGCTAAGCCTTCTGGAGAATTGTCTCCTCAGGAGAAAAAAAAAAAACTGGAGATGGCCAGAATATGCAGAACAAATACCCAAGATGGGGAATCACCTAAACTTTGAAAATTTTACCACTTGAATGATCTACATGCCCATTCCAAAAGAATTCTAGACTATATTATTCTCCCTGACAACATAATAGATGTAAATCTTCAGATTACATATGTGAAGAAATAACAGAGAAATCATTTTCACATCATTGTCAGTGTTTATTGGGCACTGAATAGTTCTTTTCTGTTGCTACTGTTTTTGTTTTAACTACCTGCCCCAGGTAGCCCATGTATCAGTCAACTCCACTGGCCTTCTAGTCCTTTATGAGACTTATATATGAACATCCTTACCAGGAAAGTTTTGACACAAAGAGAAGTGGGAGTTAAACAAACAAAGGAGGTAAATGTAGTCTATATTGTTTTATGGATGTGCCAAACCAGAAAACAAGTCTCTATAGCCCCATGTGGTAAGAAGCTATGTCCTTGAATGCCTTCAGAATATTCTAGTAAAAAATTTATTTTACTTTTTTGCAGCAAGTCAGCCTTTCAATGCTGTTGGAATGTGATTTGATCCAATTGTACATTTATTCAACCAAGGGGCAGGGACAGTGTATGTGTATTCTAATGGGCTGCATCAGTGTCACAGGGATCTCATAAGACAATGAATAGATGGAGTTACACAGATATTTATTTGTCCTAATTCTTGAATTTTTATATCAAGATACTTGCTGGAATGATTTCCTTTGAGGCCCACTCTTTGAGAGATTTAGATTGCTGACTTCTGTCTCCCTGTTTGCATGACATTTTCATGGGCTTCTCTGTGTCCTTAGAAAGTAGGTTGCTCTAAACATTAAAGCTTCAAATACAACTGATTATACCTGCTGGCATCATTTGCATATTAAGTGAACCAATTAAAATTACCAATAATTTGAAAAGAAAAAAAAAAAAAGATGTGCCAAAAGGAGGCAAGGCAGCTGGAGTTGTAGCTCAGTGGCAGACTGCTTGCCTAGCACATGTAAGGCACTGGGTTTGAGCTTTAGCACCACATGAAAATAGATAAAATAAAAGTATATATATAAAAAGGTGAAGTAAGAACTTAGCTGAAAGGGCTCCAAATGGCCAAAGCTGGAACAATCTGAGCAACACATGAATAATTCACATAAAATGAATATCCATGAGTAGTACTGACATAAATAAATGATTGAATAAATACATGAATAAATGGGGGAAAGACAAATTTTTCCTTAGAGAAGAATTTCAAATAACTGACCACAGGAGATAGAATTTATTCTCCCTCCTTCCTTGAATATGGACTAAACTTGATGACTTAGTGACTTGCTTTTACCATAGAATATTGGAAGTAAATTTAAAGTACTTTAAAGAAACTAGGCAAATACTATCATGGCCAAATGACCAAGGTTAACATACACAGTGAAAACTCATGTTGACAGCATGTTTTCATAATGGGATGCCATCAAAAGAGAACCTTACCCCTGATCTTCCTCTCAGAAGCTTATAACCTCAATCTAATATGAGAAAAACACCAGACAAATATCAACTGAAACTGGAAAATATGTAACCAGCATTAATCATGTAAAGAAGGAAAGTCTGAGGAACTATCAGAGGAGAGGAATTTAAGGAATCAAAATGACTAAATGTATTATGGTATCCTGGATAGAATTTTAAAGCAGAAAAACTAGTAAAATACAAATAAAGACTGGTATTTCTTTTCTGTCCTTCTTTAATGCCACTTTATTGGATATGTGAAAAGTACTATATATTTAATGTATAAAACTTGATGAGTTTGTAGATAA